TGAAAGAAGTTACTTGAAAGTTTTATCCATTGGGTGTATTTTATGTTGTCTTGAAAATGTTTGCGATTTCAAAAAACATTACAGGTAAATTTTTTAAAAGTTATTATCAGCAACTTATGGTGCTTTAGCTGTTATAAGGAATTTTCTTTACAGCTAAGTACACATCCATGAATAACTGAAAAGAAAGGTTAATGTTTAAACATGTGAAGTAAGCAAGTGTGAGTTTAGGCTTCTTACTGGTGTTCTCTTCTTTTTGCTCTCCTGGGACTATCCCTCCATAGCAGTTCATCCTTTGATAGTAGTAGTGGGGAAAGGTTTAGTTTTCAAGGATCCTGGGATGGAAGAGGCAGAGTCATTAAACAAAAACTGCCAATACTCCAGCCACTTCACTCTACTGAGTATGAGCTCAGAGCATCTCAACATGGCCCCAAATACCACATTTGCTCTTAATAGAAACGTCTGTAATATTGGGAGATACAAATGCTCTATGGGTTTATGTTATTGTACTTTAATTAATCACGAAAGGAGACTTCTCTTTTTGTCACNCTCCCAAGCGGCGCACTGTAGCAGTGCGCCACCAGGCCGGCCCCCAGTACACATATTTTTCATTAAATGTATGCACTTAATGTTTAATTTTTTTCTTGTAAACATTTATTCATGTCCTAGACATAAGGAATTGTTTATTTGTTCCCATATTTCAAATAATAAGGCTTTTAAAGTAATGCTATTGGGATATTCCTACTGTTAGATGCAAGTAAGATAATTCAGAGGAAAATAATAAACCTTACAGTATTGTTAAAAAATCTTCTGCATATACAGAATTCTGTTGTATATGGGATACTTGAATTAAACTATAAGCTAGGCAAAAACATAAAAAGTAGAATTCTGTTGGAAATGTTTCTCTTAATGAGAGATGAATCATGGCAAAACTTTCCCTATGCAAATAAAAAAAGAAAAAGTTTATACTGCTAAAAAGCAAATTGCTCCAAGAGCTAGCACATTATTTTATGTTAATAGTAAGTAGAAAAATAAACATCTTTAAAGATTGTACCAACTGAGGAATGGCTATAATTGGAATAGGTATTTGATATGATTTGACAAATTAGGTTTTTACTACTTCATTGAATAACACATAATGGAATCTGAAAGAAGTTACTTGAAAGTTTTATCCATTGGGTGTATTTTATGTTGTCTTGAAAATGTTTGCGATTTCAAAAAACATTACAGGTAAATTTTTTAAAAGTTATTATCAGCAACTTATGGTGCTTTAGCTGTTATAAGGAATTTTCTTTACAGCTAAGTACACATCCATGAATAACTGAAAAGAAAGGTTAATGTTTAAACATGTGAAGTAAGCAAGTGTGAGTTTAGGCTTCTTACTGGTGTTCTCTTCTTTTTGCTCTCCTGGGACTATCCCTCCATAGCAGTTCATCCTTTGATAGTAGTAGTGGGGAAAGGTTTAGTTTTCAAGGATCCTGGGATGGAAGANTTCATCCTTTGATAGTAGTAGTGGGGAAAGGTTTAGTTTTCAAGGATCCTGGGATGGAAGAGGCAGAGTCATTAAACAAAAACTGCCAATACTCCAGCCACTTCACTCTACTGGGTATGAGCTCAGAGCATCTCAACATGGCCCCAAATACCACATTTGCTCTTAATAGAAACGTCTGTAATATTGGGAGATACAAATGCTCTATGGGTTTATGTTATTGTACTTTAATTAATCACGAAAGGAGACTTCTCTTTTTGTCACCTGGAGGTTTCCAAACTCTGGGACATTGTACTTCAGGTAAGAGATGTGTGAGAGGTAGGAATGGGTCTTCTGTAAAGTGAGAGATGGACTATCTGTAACTTGGGAATTTTCAGGCAGATCACTTTAGGCAAGAGTTTGTATGAAGTTGAGAACTCAAGTAACTCTTAGAAAACTTCATATAAATGGAGTCCCCAAACCACTGAACTAGACAATCCTTTTTAAAAATGTGATTTTACCACTTATTAAATTACTTTTTATGGTCTCTAAAAAGGGCACCTGTAGGCAGTTAGAGAAAAAAACAAATAATCATTTCCTGATTGTTGATGGGCCTGTGTTTTTTCATTGCCCTTAAACATTACATGTACATAAATATGTATGTGTATGCTCATATGTTTGTGTATGTATAATTTATAGTTAAATTAACCTTTGTATGGCAATGTACAGTCCACAAAGTGCTGATCACAGTTTGGCTTATGATATAAGCTAAACTTTTTTTTAATGTTAGGCATTGAATAGTAAAGTTAGGTTTATTTGTTATATATTTAATTTTCTAAGGCAGTTTTGAGCAAACTGTAGAGTGTACCGAACCATGGAATAAAAATAAAAATATTTGGTTTAGATGTCTGAAATTGTGCCTTTCTGTTAGGTTAATGGTCCTAGAACTATTATATTTTGGAAGGACTTAAAACAAGAATTAGCAGGCCGGCCCGGTGGCACACTGGAGAGTGCGCTGCTTGGGAGTGCGGCGGCGCTCCCGCCAAGGGTTCGGATCCCATGTGGAGACCGGTTCCCACTCACTAGCTGAGTGAACCGGTTCCCGCTCACTGGCTGAGTGAGGTGCGGGCGCAACACCGAGGGTTGCGATTCCGTTACCGGTCAGTAAAAAAGACAGAAAAAAGGAAAAAAAAAAACAAACAAGAATTAGACTGTGTGATTCAAATCTGAAAAATAGCTAAGCTTGTCTAGTTTAACACTACTTTGTCTCAAGGCCAGAGTCTGGAGAAGTGGGTGCTACTCTTAGCAGCTATCTATCTAGGTAATACCTATTTCTGGCCAAGGAAATATCAAGTCATCTATTTTAAGTACTTCTCAAATCCTTAGGGAGAATGTATCTTGCCCATCCCTGTATGGAGGGTGGTGGGTGGTTGGAAGCCATGAAAGGGTGACCTCCTAGATCAAAGAAGATTCAGGGAGGGGTTGTAAAGGAAAGGGTAGAAGAGTTGGCCATATCCAGATTGCTCATCTCTTAGAAAAAGGAGTTGTAACACCAAGGTCAAGGGTGAGGATCCCCATATCTACTAGCCACAAATTTTTTTTTTTTTTTAAAGGAGATGGTCCCCAATAAGAGGAGGGTTATCCTTTTTTGCTAAACCTACTTCTTAAAGTTTTATCTGCTTCTTTCTTCCTTGATCTTCCTTGTACCCTTTTCTTAAAATCTTATTTGATTGGTGACTCTTGTCTATCATTGGCACCAATTATGACAATCTATATCTTGCTCCAAGTTGGGGCATATCCTATTACCACTCTCCTATATGCATATTTTTCCATTCTCTATTGCCTTCTCCATCTGTGCTCTTGGGAAAACTTTATACGTAACTGAGTTTCCAGATATGACTAAAAATACAGGTTTCAAAGTCTGATCCTCGGAACTGCTTTGGTGCATGACAAAATTTTCATTGACTTAAAGAGAAATAAAGATAATTTTCTGAAAATTTTAAGTTTTTCCAAAAAATTAAATCTATTCAGTTATGTCCTTTGCTCTTTGCTCAAATGCTCCTTCATGAAAATATAATGATGGTAGTTGGAGTTTTGTTTTGTTTTATGTTTGATTTTGATGCTCTCACTTGGCAAAACAAAACGTTGGCAGCCGTTTCCCAAAATTTTTAGAAATTTTTATTCGTCTTTGAAATCTATTTAAATGAAATGCTTTTGGAAAATTTTGTATGAAAATTGCAACATGTCTAAATACATTGTGGCCTAACAATCATTGGAGCAAAAGTATGTAAATGTACTTGCTTAAAGTGTTCTTTAGGAAAGACCACACATAATTTAAATGAAATATGGTTGTCTTCCTTTACTCTCAAAGTGTGTGGGTTGTGTAACACAAGCACAGTAGACCCTTACTATGCCAGCCTTTTGTGGCCCTTGCTGTGATTTTGTTATTGGTTACATAACAGGGTAAAGACCACACATAATTTAAATGAAATATGGTTGTCTTCCTTTACTCTCAAAGTGTGTGGGTCGTGTAACACAAGCACAGTAGACCCTTACTATGCCAGCCTTTTGTGGCCCTTGCTGTGATTTTGTTATTGGTTACATAACAGGGTGTTATCTGGTGGCTTACAGGAATTTAACCCTGTAAAAAGAACCCTAGAAGGAGCTAAATTATATCATTGGGAATTTAATTTGATATTCAAGTTATGTTATAGCGTTTTTCTTCTTTTTTTTCCTTTTACCAGGCCTTTTCGTATCTTTGTCTGGGTTGCTTTTAATTTTTCTGACAAGTTGAGGTTTATAAGCTTTTAGCATATTTATATATGTGGGGGAGAATTTCCCATTAAAAAGAGGACAGGCAATGATATCACTTAAATGGTTTTTCAAGTTTTAATTGGGAAAAAAGGTAACAGTAATAAATGTGATGACAAAAAGTGATCCTTTTTCCTGCGTTTTCTTCATTGTAAGCACAATTTTATATTACAGTTTTCTAAATAGCACTTTAATAAAGATGACTTGAAGTGGAGTGCTAAAAATTAAAGAGATTTGAAAGATCATTTTTACTGGTGAGGCTTCAAAAAATCCATTTTAGATATGTGTGAACATTTTCTCATAATACTTGAATATCAGTTCATTTGGTCAGGAGTCAAGTAGTATTTTTACTAGGCTAAAAAAAAGTATCTGCAATATCAAATCTGCAATGTCTTTTGAAGGTACATATATTTAGTAGGTTTAGAACTTTGGACAGGCTGTCAGAAGATAATTGCAGAGCACATTTATTTTTATTCATGATTTGATGTAGTGTTACTAACAATTTGGGAAGTAAATTAACTAGCTTTAACAAATTTTACCGTAAACCTTTGGTTTTTAGGGCACATACCTTAATTATTTAATTGTGAACGCTATACATTTGCCTTTAATTGCTGCTTTTAGTGTGGCTTACTTTGTGTGCTAAGTCTGTATTTTTTGTTCTTTTAGATATGATACAGCTGGATACATATAAGATATAGGTAGTTTTACTGTGCAGAGATTTTTAATATTTAAATTTTGAATTTAAAAGATTTTAAAACATCATTGTGTGTTTCTCTGTAGTCTCCTATTTTTCCCCAAGAATTATTTAAATAATAATTTAGATGACAATGTTTAGGTAAGTTGGTAACCTTTTCATGCACAAATCACTATGCATTCTTGATATTTACATGAATTGTCTGCTCCCTCTCAATGATAAAGTAAAATCAGCTTTTTATGGATAGGTTATTATAAGTAGAAATATATATTTAAGATAATCACAGTTCTCTCTAAATTCTGAGTTCTAATTTACTTAATATATTTATAATCTTGAACTATTTGTTTTCAAATAACAACTATACTGTTGCATAATCTAAGTTGTTTGAATATACTTATTGAATTACTTAAAACTATCAATTTAAAAGTAGTTATTATATTATTTATAGAGTCCAAAAATGTTTTGGGGGGTATGGGGGGAAACAGGTTTATAAGCCTTTGAAAATTTGACAAAAGCTTTGGACCTTCTCACTGGAAAAATGCACTATAACATACACATTTGATATGTTGTTTCAGGGCAGTCAGTGACATTCTGCCCAAGAGATCAGAGTCCCCTATATTAAAAACACCCGCTATTGATATGAGGAATATGTTTTTAAGAAGGATCTCATCAGCTTTTAACATGATATTTACAATTGAAAATTTATTTCAACTGACCTCACATGTTTAAAGCGGGTTCTTTTTCTAAGTTAATATGCCTGGTTTAGTTTCATTTTCAGAACTTCTGATTAATTGCTTAATTGATAAAATATACTGCAGGTTTGCATATATAAGTAAGTTTTCTTTTGGTGAAGAAATATCCTTGAGTTAAATAACATTTTATTCTAATTTACGCTAATTATAAAAACAGATTGTCTTGATCACAGCAGTACATAACATCTTTGTTCTTCCTTTTTACTAAGAAAAATTGGTAGCCAATGTTCTGTCCTCTTTGCTCTTGTTTAGTATTTTCTATATAGCTCTCTTATTTTCCTTTTTGATAGGGAAGAGTACTGTGATGGTCAGAAATATTTGGCCTAATAAGGAGAGTAGTCACCATAATCAGTGTGTGTCAAGTCAGGGTTAAAGTGACTAGCTGTTGAAGTTATGCATGAAATCCAAGGCTTGGTTTTTGTTTTCAAGCCATAAGTTAATTCTTTTTTTATAAAAGCTACTTCATTGATGTGAAATTCACCCATTTAAAATGTATAACTCAGTTGCCAAAGCCTGTTTTTATGGAGGGAAAATAAACATTTTATCAACAAAGAGAAGGGCCTGCCTCTCTTAAGTTGTCCCAGTTTATTGAATAATTTTAGAGATCCTCAAAAGCCACAGAGCCCTCTTTTCTTTCTACCCTGGGTTGTAGAGGGTACTGATACTTTGGTATTCTCTTAAGAATGCTAGCTTGAACCTAAAGCTCACCTGTAAATATTTCTCAGTGTGAAAATTTTGAACACAGTTGTGTGAAGAGATTGAGCCCATGGACTTTATCAGTGGAGTGCACTTTTTAAAATTTAATTATGCTTGTGTATTTTCTGGTCTTTTAAATATAATATCAAAGTATTTATTTGCTTCTGATTACATCTAATGTGTGTGTTTTTTTCAATCACTGGACATTTTTAAAACTTAAGACACTGAAATATTTAAGTGGAATGAATTTTCAAGAGTGCTGAAGTCATCATAAAGGGCCTAGAAATATTCTGCATGCCTGAATAGTGTTCTGTGTATTGATTGGTAATTGTTTCCAGCATATGAATTCGGTTACCAAAATAAGTTTGAATTATTGTAAATTAACTGTGTAGTTGTGATGCCAGTAGTTGTTTTAGAAAAACAGATTATAGCACTTGAAATTTTAGTAAAACTAAAAATATCTCCTTATACAGTTTATTTTGTGCGTCATCTTTAGATTTGATATGCACGAGGTTTAGAGAAACATCCCACCAACCGTGCCTTTGTTAGATTTTTTTCATAATAATTATTCACCAGAGATTCAAGTTAGATATGAAACCTTATAGAAGAGAGCTGTAGATTATAAATACATTGTTAAATTTTAAATTATCTAGAGAATTTATAACCCATCTGTACATAAAACTTCAAATCGGTGTTCTGTGTCATTTAAAAAGATGTCAAAATAATTAAAAAATTATTTTGAAACTTGCTTTCAAAAAGAACACAGAGCATTTAATAACAGCTTGTATAACATCTCATTTGTTTTTATCAGCTGTTTCAGAGTTTTATATTACAGTTTTTATTTACAGATGTTTAATGATTATCCTTAATGTTCATGACAGGAGCCCTCTGGCACAGATGGAGGAAGAAAGGAGCTTGTAGTTGATCTACTGTTATATTTGTCATGAGTTTAATTTAGCAGGGATATGAAATAATTTCTCCTGGTTTGAGATTGCTGAGCACTGGAGGACTAGCATCCCTGGTGCCTGCCACTAAATGCCAGTGTCAGTGTCTTCCTGATCATTAGGCAAATCAAAATGTGCATGCACCCCCAATCGAGAATCACTGTCTTATGTTCTTACTTTTTCACATTTTCGTAGTAACTTGTTTGCTGTAATCAGGAAGATTTTGCCTCAGGTTTGGCATGTTTGCTTAAGTGTGTATTAGGTGGTTATGTTTTGTAGGAATTGCGTGAAATATTTGCAATAGAAATAAATATGAAGTTACTCTTTGTGAGTTTATAAAATAATTAAGAAAACAAATGGTATGCAAAATTATAGTATAATCCAAATTCAAGATGTTAACTCACTGATGTAATAAAAACCTTAATAGAACATAATTCCTGGACAACTGAATATTTTGAACAGTCCTTGGATATTCAGTGTAGTAGGATATAATCTGACTTTTAAATTTGTTGACTGTTTTCTTCAGAAATAGATTAGTGCTTAAATGAAATTATTTACCTAATGACTCATTAGACTTAAGTTCCTTATTTCTGCAGTTACCTTGCCTGAGCGTTTCCCACCTTTCAGCCAGCATTTTGTACAGCGTTAACTCTCAGCATAGGAAGGATCGTCTGCATTACAATCACTAGAGCTTGTTGAAAATTCACATTTCTAGACTTAACACCTGACATTCTAATTCAGTACATTGGGGTGAGGTCCAGGATTCTGTATTTTTAACAAGCACCCCAAGTGATTTGAAGACCAGCATCAGTGTTTGAGAACCACTGCCTTATGTGAATGGGGACCTTACTGGGATCTTGGAGCTCTTAGGTCCTTAACTACCTGCTTTCTTTTTGCCTGTTTCAGCTTTCTGAACCTGAAGTTAGATTTAGGTTCAAGTCCTGGTTCTGCCCCTTTCTGGCTAGTGATGTTGGGCAAGTCACTTAAACTCTGCAACTGTTTTCTCATCTGTATAGTGGGAGCAATGATGTCTTCCCTGCCTAGCCTCCGACATGTTTGTGAATAAAAAAAGATGAGATAAGATAATAATTGTCCATTATAAAGTGCTACACACCTGTAAGTTTGTTGCCTTTTTTCTTTCCCCTGTTTCCCAAGATTATTCTCTTGGTTCATGGCCGTTTGGTTGGCAGGTCCTAAAGTACAAGGAATCCTCAACAGTGCTTTCTAGGTATTCTGAATTTATAGCAGGATAACTCAGTGCTCATACTCTTAACATTAGTATGCCTGGATGAAACATACTTCTACTCCTGCTTTCTTAAGAAGTTTTATTTTGTATCTTGTGCTGTGATTTAGCTCCAGCGGCGCCATGAGCAAATGAAAAAGAATTTGGAAGCACAGCACAAGGAATTAGAGGAAAAACGTCGTCAGTTTGAGGATGAGAAAGCAAACTGGGAAGCTCAGCAACGTATTTTAGAACAACAAAACTCTTCGAGGTAACTAATATCAGATTCCTAAGAAATGTATTTATTAATGTTTTAAGGAATTTCTTTTCTATTTATTTTAAAAACATTAGAATAGCATTTAAAAAGCCATGACCCATAATCATGCATCTCAAGCACAGTTATTTCTTGGATGAATGTATTTGTATGGATAGGTACAATTTGTGTACTATAACAGTATTTTTTCAATGCAGACGTTTTCCATGACTTAATCTTCATAATTATAATTTAGCAGCTTCATAACATCCTCCCTGGGTAACTCACCGTAATCAATTTCTTACCTCCTCCCTGCAATTATTGGACATAAGGGTTGTTTTCAGTTTTTGGTGTGTACAGAGAACATGGTACAGAGATATTGCATACATACAGAGCTATGATTTGTGTTGAATTATTTCTTAGAATAAAATCCTTAAGATAAAAAGTTTTCTAATACAGCTAATGAGTGCACTCCTTAATTTATACAAAATACAATATTCATACTTTGGTTTTCTTCTTTTCCTCATTTGTCCCATTTAAAACTGGTTTAAGTTGCATCCCTATAAGTATTCTATAATTTATCCTTGTTACTAAACATTTTCAAGATTAGACATTTGTTCTACAAACCATCCTTCTATTAATATTTTTTCCAAAGAAGACAAAAAAGCAAATGTACTTCAGAATGAAAAGGGCATCCTGTTTAACGTCAATTGATCTTTTTCAGTTTGTGCTGTTTGCATTTGGGAAGAAGTGTCCTTGCATATTAAAATGGGGTTTTCAAGTAATCTTTACTGCTTATCTGGGAATTTTGTCAAATATTTGATTGTCTAAGAAAACAGTGTTAAAGACTAGCATTGTCTTCATTGTTTACTTCTAACTCTTTAAATTTTTTAAATGAAAAAGTAGTGTTTGAAAATCCAACATAGATGTAGTTGGGTTAGCTTTTTCTACCATATGTTGACTATCATGTTTATAACCTGGTCACTCATCTTCATTATTTTTCTCTAATCATTTAGAACCTTGGAAAAGAACAAGAAGAAAGGGAAGATCTTTTAAACTCTCTATTGACCACCAGTGACGTATTAGTTGCCAATATGCCATCTTGGACATCAGTGTTTGTTGGATCCGTTTGACCAATTTGCACCAGTTTTATCCATAATGATGGATTTAACAGCATGACAAAAATTATTTTTTTGTTGTTCTTGATGGAGATTAAGATACTTTGAATTGTCTAGGATGTTGTGTACTTAGAAAGTAACAGCTCTAAGTACCTTTCCTATGTTTTCTTTTTCTTTTCTTTTTTTTTTTTATTAAACAGATATCTTTGGTTTAATGCAAGAGAACATTTTACTATTGTACAATCATGTTCTGGTGGTTTGATTGTTTATAGGATATTCCAAAATAAAAGGACTCACTACCTGCTTTCTTTTTGCCTGTTTCAGCTTTCTGAACCTGAAGTTAGATTTAGGTTCAAGTCCTGGTTCTGCCCCTTTCTGGCTAGTGATGTTGGGCAAGTCACTTAAACTCTGCAACTGTTTTCTCATCTGTATAGTGGGAGCAATGATGTCTTCCCTGCCTAGCCTCCGACATGTTTGTGAATAAAAAAAGATGAGATAAGATAATAATTGTCCATTATAAAGTGCTACACACCTGTAAGTTTGTTGCCTTTTTTCTTTCCCCTGTTTCCCAAGATTATTCTCTTGGTTCATGGCCGTTTGGTTGGCAGGTCCTAAAGTACAAGGAATCCTCAACAGTGCTTTCTAGGTATTCTGAATTTATAGCAGGATAACTCAGTGCTCATACTCTTAACATTAGTATGCCTGGAAAAAAAACCTATATGCTTACAGTGCACCTAGAGCTTTTTTATAACAACCTTTTTTGTTTGTTTTGGATTCTTTAAATATATATTATTCTCATTTAGTGCCCTCTTTAGCCAGAATTTCATTACTTCTTCATTTTTGTAATAACATTTAATTTAGATATTTTCCATATATTGGTCCTGCTAAAATAGAATATAGCATATTTCATATGGTAGGAACCAACAAGGGAACTTTCCTTTAACTCCCTTTTTACACTTTATGGTAAGAAGCAGGGGGGGAAATGCATTTATAGGTCATTTCTAGGCAAAGTTGTGAAGCTAATGACCAACCTGTTTCTACCTATATGCAGTCTCTTTATTTTACTAGAAATGGGAATTCATGGCCTCTTGAAGAGAAAAAAAGTCACCATTCTGCATTTAGCTGTATTCATATATTGCATTTCTGTATTTTTTGTTTGTATTGTAAAAAATTCACATAATAAACAATGTTGTGATGTAATAGAGTGTGGGGTCTTAAATATTCTACAGTTGATATACAAGAGTAGAAAATGTTTTGGAAGAAACTTTTCAACTTGATTTTGCCTCCTCCACGATGATAGCTCTTGTGTGTTTATCTCATTTAGATAGCATATGTGCTGATTTTATAACCAAAGAGATACAGTATCTCTCTATCCATTACTATCTCATAATATGTTTATTTGTCTGAGAATGATTTCCAGTTCATTTAGATTAGCTATACTCTCAAGTCCCTGGAAACTGAATTTTTTTTAACTGAAAAGAGGATATGATTTCTTTTCACCAAGGTCAAATGATACAGATTTTAATGTAATGCTTTATGATATTTTAAGCATAATTAGTGCAATCCAGTTTGTTACCTTGAAATGTTTTACCATGTCTCTTTACTTTTTTAAATTAATGACTCAAGCAGAAGGAAGTAAATGATGATTCTAATTAGCCAATATGTTTTACTTTAGAGTCTGAAGGACTTAAATAAATGAGGATGGTAGAAAGATACTTACTGCTTTTCAAAGATGTTTAGATCTAAATTTTAAAATGTGTATTAGGAAAATTATTCATATTATAGAATCTTGACTTTGCATAAAAATGAACTCAAGGGTAACTATTATTTAAAGTAGATCTCAGGGGCCTTAAAACCATGAATTAGGAATACTACAATAAACATCCTTTTTTGATGGTCATTTCTAGTTAAAATTGCCTTGGAAAAGTTTTGTTAATCCTAAAATGCTATCTCCTTTTGGAAAACATAACACAGTACAGGTTGCTTTTTAAACTTAAATTGCAGTGGGACTGTATGTTTACTAACATAGAAGTGAGAGTTTGTTCCTCTGCACCTACCCAGAAATATGGTTGTTATTCTAAGACCAGAATCAGATGTTCAGGAATAATTATAATTAAATAGCAGGGATTTTTTTTTGTTTGGGTGTTTTTCCTTTTTTGTTTTTTCAGTTCTTGTGTTGAGAGATTGGGTTAACACCTCCAGCCAAAAATGTTTTGTTTTAGGGAGCTAAGAACAAATCTACTGAATTTGGAGAATGCAAAATGAAAAAGTGTATATAGACTGCCTGCCTAACTGGTGAAGTATTAGTGCTTCTGGAAAATAGTTACCACTTAAAAATTCTGTGTATTATGATAAATTTATAAGACACCTTTATTCTACTATTCTATTGAAAACTTTAACAAGTCTTTAATCTGTGTCATGCCCAGGGTTTGCTTGAGTCTGACATACAACTAACTTTACTGGGTCTATTGATTGTTGACTCCAGGCTTTTCAAGCTTAGTGAGGGCTATTTTTGCTGTATGGCCTGTGGATTTTTGAGAATTGCTGTTATAGTCATTCACAATACGTGTACAATTCAGGAAGGCATAAGGAAAGTCAAGCCTGTAAAAAGCAAAACAGGCAGTGCGTGTGTCCACTATCAGAGGCTTGGTTAACCACTACCTTTCTGTAATTAAGTGGGGCAACCAGTAATCACTAATCCCAGTGAACTGCTTGGCACCATGTGGTAGGGTTTTACCGCCACCTAGTGGAATGGGATCTAATTGTTTCTTTTTTTTTTTTTTTTCCTTTTTGTCTTTTTTCGTGTCCGGCAACCGCAACCCTCAGTGTCGCACCCGTACCGGGCCGGGACCGGCAACGGGATCGCAACCCTCGGTGCTGCGCCCACCCCTCGCTCAGCCAGTGAGCAGGAACCGGTCTGTGTGAGGGATCCGAACCCTCGGCAGGAGCGCCGCCGCGCTCCCAAGCGGCGCACTGTAGCAGTGCACCACCAGGCCAGCCCTAATTGTTTCTTTATCAGGTTCACAAGTAACCGGTGAAGTTAGTAATGAATTGGACATACATCTTATTTCTGTGTAGCTCGGGTTGTGATCTTGAAAGCTGAGGAGATACAGACTAAGGCCTTTCAGGTGTCACATTACCACCTGCACATTCTGACCCACCACACCTTTCATATATTTTATCCTCTTGGAGAAACTCTGATGATGTAGGAGAGAAATCAGGATATAGTAGGTGAGAAGGAAGAAAGAGGAAAGAGGGTATGATAGCCACAAATGGTGCAAGAGCAAAATGTTGACTCAGGAAGTTGTCCAGATCACTGTCTCCAAACCTGATCCTGTTTCCTTATTAAAATACTTTTGAGCATGTATTCATAACGATATGTATAAATAAATGTACTACTATGCTTATTTGAATGGTATGAAATAAAATTTGAAAGTGTGAAATAAAGTTAGCACTCTTTTCCCAATCCCCAATGAATTATTAGTACTCTGCACTTTGGAGGGCATTGATTTAGGTAGTATGTGAATCTTCAAGGAAAGTTCTAATGAAGACTGCTGTAGCATCCTACTTGATTTGAAAGGGAAATTTGACACTCCAGTAAATTGAAATTCTTTCTAATAAAAAGCTTGCACATGTAAGCAAAAGTCAATGTATTTCAGGACTTTTTCCCTGTCCCTTTCGTAATAATAGCTATCTATAGTGCCTACTATTCCAGACAGTAAGCTAAGTACTTTCTGTGCATTATCTTCATTTAATCATTTCATTTAACAATAGTATCATTCTTTTACAGATGTGGAAACTAAAGTTTGAAGATGGTTAGTAACTTATCCAATAGACAGATGGTAACTGGCAGAGCTGGAGTTTGAACAGGTCTTGGTAACGCCAAGGCCTGTGTGCTTCAATCTCATACTATACTACCACACTTCTGAAGCATGATCTGCACGGTTGTTAGCACAGGGCAGATGCTCACTAGGCAGCCTGGAGGAGTAGAAAGCACCGGACACACAAATTATCTAGGTTCAAATCACAGCTCTGAATCAGGTATGTTACTTTTCCTTTCCGAATGTTTGTTTCCTCAGCTGTGAAATAAGGCCCATACCTCCCTTGCTAGTTTGGGGTGTAGTGGATTACATTGTGACGCCACACTTGAAGGCATCCTTGAGAGATTATCCTTGAATGTTGATGGAAGTGAGGATCTGCTAGGGCCATGACAAACCAAAAAGTATTGTTTCTCCCCAGTTTTAGATGGTTCGTTTTTGGTAAAGTGTGCCTGGTGCCATGATGTCTCTAGATCTGCTTTTATGTACACAGAGATAGATAACCTATTGGAGTTAATGTAATTTCAGCAGAAGGGCACTCCATGGGAATAACGTGACTTTGGTTAAGAAAATGAAGGTATTAGTAATGGGAGTTATAAAATACATCATTCTTTTCAAGTAATGCTGAGATGGTTTATCAGAGTCTCGCATCTCTCATGAAAACATTGCTGCTTTTCAATCAAAGTTGGGTCCAGTAATTTGGGATCAAACCATACAATGTTCAAATGTTAGTGACAGCCATTTTCAGCAGAAAATAGGGATTGACAATTTCCTGTGTTCTTTAGAAGCCTTTCAGAGCTTCATGGGAAGAATGAAGACTATTCTTGGCTTGAATATTTGCCTCATGGGGTGCTGGAGCCAGCCAAACAGCCTTGTATTAGCAAAGGGGGTTCAAGTGAAAGGAGACCTTGTTCTGTGCCAGGTTCTCAAAGGGTAGCCTGAAATCCTACTGGCCACACAGAACTTCTGTTTTAGATGCAGAGTCTGTGGATCTGCTGAAGTCTGATGCCACTTGGCCTTTCTGAAATCCTTTGGAGTGGGGAAAGGGTAGTAGACACCTCTGAGAGCAGAGGTCTGTGGTGTAAGGTGGGGGCTAGTGAAGGGAAGATAGACACTGCCAACGAACTTCTATTTTCTCGTTTTCTCCCTCTTCCAGGTGGCCCCGCTTACCTCTCCATCTTCCAGGTGTGTTGGAAGGAGCAGCATTTTGCCCTATTTACAAGTAAATAGCAGAGCACAGAATCCCCATGGTTGAGGGGCTGGCTCTCACCCAGGTATGGGGTACCCCACTAAGTTGGTCTGGCAAAGGTCTTTTTTTCCTCATTTTATTCCATTGTCTTTGAATTTCACTGGTCTCTTTCATATTTAAATATATGCTTCACTCTAATGCAGGCATAGAAAACTTCCCTGTCCTAGATAAGCCAGTAATTTAAGCAACTTGGCAAATGGTGGGTGAAGCAGTGGGTACCCTGGC